CATGAGGCTGATGCAGGCTCAGGCTGAGGCTGATGCCGAGGCAGGCTGAGGCTGAGCTGAGGCAAGCCGAGGTAGGTGACTATGACGGCTGAGGCTGAGACTGAGGCAGGCTGATGCTGAGGCTCAGGCTGAGGCTGAGGCTGAGGCTGAGGCTGAGGCTGCGGCTGAGGCTGAGGCTGGGCTGCAGGCTGAGGCTGAGGCAGGCTGAGGCTGAGGCTGAGGCGAGGCAGGCTGAGGCTGAGGCCGAGGCAGGCCTGAGGCTGAGGCTGAGGCAGGCTGAGGCTGAGGCTGATGCTGAGGCAGGCTGAGGCTGAGGCAGGCTGAGGCTGAGGCCGAGGCAGGCGAATCCTTCGGAATCCTTAGGATTCCCTGGGAATCCTTAGGAATCCCTAGGAATCCCTAGGAATCAGGATCCCTAAGGTTTCCTAAGGATTTGTATGGGTTCCTAAGGATGCCTAAGGATGCCTCAGGAATCCCCAGGAATCCTTAGGATTCCATCGGATCCTGAGGCCGTTGCCACTGCGACTGTCATTGCGAATGCGACTGCGACTGCGAGAACAGCAGAATTCTACAACTGGGTTCTCACCTGAATCTTAAGGGGAATGCTTCCAGATATGCTTATACACATCGCTGTTAGGTTGCTTTGCCGGGATAATTTGTGATGTCTCTGCAGCAAGCACACAGCACCTATGATAACTCGACTTAGCGACTCTCCCTGGTCGCCGCAGGGCCCCCTTCCCCTTGCCCTCTCTGAGAGACCCTGAGGGTACCCGGTGGACACAGACCTGGTGGCCAGGTCAGACATGTCCAGGATGCAGTGGTCCTGGCGATGGCGCCCTCCTCATCTGCTCCTTCCCGAGCAGCCTTCTCCTCTTCTGGCTCTTCATCCTCGGCTTCCGAACGGGAGGCACAGCAGCAGTCCATGCGCAACCCAGGCAAGCGACCGGTCACTCGGCCCAGGCTCGCAGCTCGGTTTTTTCCCCGCCGCACTCTTGGGGTCTGCTCTGGCGTCCCCGACGAGCACAGCCCCTCTGTCGCTCGCCGGGGTCCTGCGCCGACCCAGTGCCTCCGCGCGGATCTCGGGCGCTTTGGTGTTTATTGCTGTCTCGCCGCGTGAGTGCGCATCCCCCACCCCTTTCTTCTGCGTCCTTCCCCTCCTCCGCGGCTGGTCCTCTCCGTGTTTCCCCTCCTCCTTGCCTGCAGGAGAATCTGCAACGCCGTGGCCCAGGTTGCTCTGACGCGCGCGCGGGCTGCCTCTGCCGCGCTGCGACGCAAAGCATGTTTGTGTCGCTTTTTCTTCCTCTATTCTCTCACTTTCTCTCTCTCTCTCTCTCTCTCTCCCTCTCCCTCTCGCTCGCCCTCTCTCCCTCTCTCTCCCTCCCTTCTCCGTGAAGGAGGACGGTCCTGAGGGAAGCGGGCCCTGAGGTTTTTCCTCGTACTCGGGCCCCCCGGTCCCTCGCAGGCCAGAGCCGTCAGAGAACGGCGGGGACGCCTCAGGACGAGTCAGTCCTGTGGAAAGCTCCCGGGCTCCTGTGGAAAGCTCTCGTCCTTCGTGCTGATCTTTCTCTCTTCCTCTCGCCGCCCTCCTGGTGGCCGCCGCCCAGGAGGAGCCCTACCGCATGTTTTCCACCGATAAGGTCGAGTACCTCCGCAGGGTGAAGCTGCAGGTGGGCGAGGTGTCTGGGGGCGCGCAGGCGCCCTCCCCGCGGGCATCGGTGCGAGGGGAGGCGAGGAGGGCAGGGGGAGGGGGAGGGGGGCAGGGGGTAGGGGGAGGAGGAGGAGGAGGGTGAGAGGGGGAATGTGGAGAGGGCACAGCAGGCATGGCATATTCTCGACACCATCGGGGGTGCGCAGGGGGTGGTCTCTCACCGCTGCCGCTATCCGTGACGGTCGTCCATGGCACAGCAGGCATGACATATTCTCGCCACCATAGGGGTGCGCATGGGGTGGTATCTTACCGCGGCCGCTATCCGTGACGGTCGTCCATGGCACAGCAGGCATAGCATATTCTCGACACCGTATGGGGTGCGCAGGGGGTGGTATCTTACCGCGGCCGCTATCCGTGACTGTCGTCCATGGCACAGCAGGCGTTGCATATTCTTGATACCATAAGGGGGTGCGCATGGCTTGGTCTCTCTCCGCGGCCGCTATCCGTGACGGTCGTCCATGGCACAGCAGGCATGATATATTCTCGACACCATAAGGGGTGCGCAAGGCGTGGTCTCTCACCAGAGCCGCTATCCGTGACGGCCGTCCATGGTTCAGCAGGCATGGCATATTCTCGACACCAAGGGGGGTGCGCAGGGGGTGGTCTCTCACCGCGGCCGCTATCCGTGACGGTCGTCCAGGGTTCAGCAGGCATGGCATATTCTCGACACCAAAGTGGGTGCGCAGGGGGTGGTCTCTCACCGCGGCCGCTATCCGTGACGGTCGGCCAGGGCACAACGGTATCGGCCACCAACATGCTTTACTTCAGCTACCATCACTCCAGCTATCATCACTCCAGCCATAATACAAGTATGTGGGGTTCTTCGGTAGCGTAATTCTCTTTGCGGGAAATGCCCCAAGGGAAAACACCCGTTTGAGAGACCTTCATTATGTCAAAACATTGTTGAATCGCTTCGCTTACTCCGCTTGCCCGTATTGTGCCCATCGCAGGCGTTTGCTTGCGCGTTCGTGGCCTCTTGGGGCCTCTTGGGTGCCGTTTGGGGTTCTCTTGGGCCCTCTTTTTGGGCCTCTTGGGGGTCTCGTGGGGCCTCCAGTGGGCCTCGTGTGCTCTCTTGGGGGCTTCGTGGGGCCTCCTGGGGGCCTCTTGGGGCGGAAGGCTCGAATTGGTGGTTCGTCTTCCCCCTCTTGGGCCCCTCTTGGGGCCGTCTTGGGGCCCTCTTGGGCGATCTTGGACGCCTCTGGGGGCGTTTTCGGGTCGTCTTGGACCGTCTGGGGGGCCTCTTGGGGGCCTTCCGGGCCGTCTTGGGTTGGTCTTGGGGGCTTCTGGGGCCAACTTGGAGCGTCGGAAAGCGGAAAAGGCGAGAAGACTGCAAACCTCCAAAAACGTAGGAAAATCAATAATTTGTGTCAAGTGGAGAGCTCTTGGCAGACCTCTTGGAAGCCGCTTGGGCCGTCTTGGCGGCCTCTTGGGCCGTCTTGAGGCCATCTTGGGCGGCTTGGGGCGATTTTGGGGCGTCTCCGCCCCCTCTGGGGGCCGTCTTGGGGCGTTCTTGGGCCCGTATGGTCGTCTCTTGGGCCGCCTGGGAGCCGTCTTGGGCCATCGTGGGGCCATCTTGGGAGCCTCTCGGGCTGTGTTGGGGCGGTTTCGGCGGCCTCTTGGGCCATCTTGGAGCGTCGGAAAGCCGAAATGGCGAGATGGCGACAAGTGGAAACCTCTTGGAAGCCTCGAGGGGCGTGTTGGGGGCATCGAGGGCCATCGTGAGGCCATCTTGGGCCGCCTTGGGACGCTATTGGCTTCTGGCCGTAGGGCCTGCCGCTTGTTTGTCGACTCATTGGGCCGCTCTTGGACGGTTCCAGAGGCGCCCAGGTCCGCGCCCAAGAGATCCGGTATCTCTGACCCGGACATGCAGGGAGTTGCCCGGGGCATTTTTCGCTGCGGGACCCCAGGGGCCGCCACGCGCGCGCGAATGAGACTGTTGTTGGCTTGTTACCAGAGATCTTAGCACGCCTCTGGCCCGTTGGGCCGGCGAAGTCATGGGACGTCAGCGCCGAGAGTCGACTTGATTGTTGCGTCTTGACAATCATAAACCGTGCCAAAACACCTTTCGCGGGACTTCAACATCACGAATCAACGTCACTGTTGCGTCCTGACAATCCCGCGTGCCAAGACGCAATTCCCCGGACGTCAACCATACGAACCCTTGACACTGTTCTGCATTTTCATCAAAACAGATGTGGGCAGCGCTGCGGCGAAATCCACATGTTGAAAAAGAACCGCCTTCCATCCATGAAACGGTTGCAAGCGGCGCTGGGGCGAAAACCACATTTTGGAACAGACCCGCCCTACAATGTTGAAAAGCTGTTGCGAAGTTTCCAACCGAATGTGCGCAGGGGTAAAGCAATAACCGCATTTTGAAAACAATCCGCCCTCCGTCCTCGAGGCCACTGCAGACTTTCAAAACGAGAGTGCACGGCTGTAAAGCAGTATCCGCATTTTGGTAAGGGCCCGCCCTCTGTCCTTGACGCTGCTGCAAGCTTGGAAAACGACTGTGCGGCGCGATGTGGCGAGAGGAATCACATTTTGAAAACGGCCCGCCCGCCATCCGCGAAACTGCTGCAAGGTTCAAGCTTGAGGAACGTAAAAGGGTGTGTAAATCTCAAGTGAAACGCCCGGCCCGCCTTACCGGCACATCTGGGGGTGCGACTTGGAGGAGTGTTTATGAGTAGATCGGATGAAGGAGGATGAGGATAGGATGAGGATGAAGATGCGGATGATAATGAGGATGAGGATGAGGATGGCGATGATGATGATGATGATGATGATGATGATGATGATGATGATGATGATGATGATGATGATGATGATGATGATGATGATGATGATGATGATGATGATGCTGCTGATGCTGATGCTGATGCGGATGCTGATGCTGATGCTGATGCTGATGTGATGGTGATGATGCTGATGCTGATGATGTGATGATGATGATTGATAATGATGATGACGATGCTGACAATGATTTGATGATGATGGCGACGACGATGACGACGACGATGATACTGATAATGTTGATGATGCTGATGCTGATGATGCTGCTGCTGATGATGATGATGATGATGAGGAGGAGGGGAGGAGGAGGAGGAGGAGGAGGAGGAGGAGGAGGAGGTGGAGGGAGGGAGGAGGAGGAGGAGGAGGAGGAGGAGGAGTGCCCCGAGGACGACGAGGACGAGCTGGACCTGCTGCGGGCAGGGGAGGCGGGTGAAGCAGCAGTAGCAGCAGCGGAGACGGCGGCGGCGGCGGCGACGGCGAGCCTGCCGCGCAGGGCAAGTGAGCACCGGGCCTCGGCGGATGCGGCCTGGGCGCGGGCTGGCGCCTCGGCGGGCGGGGCCCGAATCGAGGGCTCCGCCTGAGGGGTCTTGTGCGCCCGGGAGAGGGGGCGCCAGGAGGAACGAGGAATGAGGAGCAAGAGGCGAGGAGGGAGGGAGGGGAGGGAAAGAAGGAGGAGGAGGGAGGGAGGGAGGGAGGGAGGGAGGGAGGGAGGGAGGGAGGGAGGAGGAGGAGGGGGGGGGAGGAGGAGGAGGAGGAGGAGGAGGAGGAGGGAGGAAGAGGAGGAGGAGGAGGAGGAGGAGGAATGAGGATGAGGAATGAGGATGAGGATGAGGAGGGGAGGAGAGGAGAGGAGGAGACCAGGAGGAGGAGGATGAGGAGGGGAGGAGGAGGAGGAGGAGGAGAGGAGGAGAGAGAGGAGGAGAGGAGAGGAGGAGGAGGAGGAGGAGGAGGAGGAACGAGGAGGGAGGGAGGAGGAGGAGAGGAGAGGAGGAGGAGGAGTAGAGGAAGGAGGAGGAGGAGGAGGAGGAGGAGGAGGAGGAGGAGGAGGAGGAGGAGGAGAATGGCAGGGACCAGGCACCGCCCGATCTACCTCGAGCAGTCAGGAGGAGGAGGAGGAGGACGGAGAGGGAGGAGGAGGAGGAGGAGGAGGAGGATCGAGATGTCGGGTAGGTAGGAAGAGGAGGAATGGAAGAAGAGGAGGGGGAGGAGCATGGGGCAGAGGGAGGAGAGGGAAGGAGGAGGAGGAGGAGGAGGAGGAGCCCCTGATCCGTGTTCCCCGCCCTCCCTCTTCCATTCCTCCACTTCCTTGCCCTCCCACCCTGTCCATCCCCCCGCCCCCGGATTTCCTCCAGCCGATCGCCTCCCGGATTGATCGCCCCTGCGGGCAAGGACTGAGTCTGGGTATTTCCGCCTTCTCTTGATAGTGCGGGTGTCGCGAGAGACCACATACCAAACTGCACCCCGCCCCAAATGCGCTGTAGAAAACCAACTCCCCGTGCACTCTTTCTAACAACGAACTTGATTTTGACCAAAAACCAACTTACTCCTCCTCCTTCCTTCCCCTCCTCCTCCTCCTCCTCCTCCTCCTCCTGCTCTCTCTTGTTCTCTCTGTCTGTGCGCGTCGTGGTTGTCTGCAGCTGCTTCGGCCCCGAATCCTCGCGTGGCATCCCCAGGCGGGCGATTTATGCAGGCGATTGCCCAGGCCGCCATCGAGGGTGCGGGGGCGGTGCTCTTCAAGGTTTGCGGGCCGCGCTCTACGAACGGCTCGCAGGCCAACCCTTGGCACCTGTTGCGGACTGCGCCGGCTCTTGCGCGGGGTCCGCGGGATCCGCCCAGGCCGGCTTGACCGGCGGAGGGTGTACGGCCCTCCCGCCGCTGCAGGTGCGGCTTGCCCCACCGTCTGCCTGGGGTTGGCGGTGTACCTGGGCAGCGGGTTGGCCCTTCTGCTGCTCTCGTCGGCGGTGGCCCTGCTGATGACCACCGCCGCCTGCAGCCTCTGCGGAGGCTGTTGCGTCGGCGCTCTGGTGGCCGGCTGGCGGGGGTCGTCGGGGCCCCCTCGCACGCGGGCGGCGATCGCAGCCCCTGGTGGGCTCGGTCGTGGTCCGCAGCGCGCTCTGGCCTAAGGCCCAGGCGCGCAGGCTGAGGCGCGGGCCTTGGCGCGAGGCTCAGTCGCTGCGCCCCGTCGCGGCCAAGCGCGGCTGGCGGCGTGTGCGCCCCCAGCCTGCCTACAGCCATGGCGGGCGACGCTGCGGCGTCGGGGGGGCTCGCCATCCCCGACGGGCCGCCCTGGCCCGACCTTCGCCCGTTCTCGCCCCCGACAGCCTCGCGCTACGACCGTTGGCGGCTGGGCGAGGGCGAGGCGAGCTACGCGGCAATCCCCTTGGCCACGCGGCCTGGGGGCATCCTGCTGGCGCTGCCTGGGTCTTTTCACGCGTCTGAACTTCTCACTTCTCCGTCTGGCGGGGGCGGAGGGGTTCAGCGGGCTGGTTGGGCCCTTCCAGGTGGCCAGCCTGCCCCTGTTCTGCGCGGCGTCGCGTCCGCTGAGCACGGCCGCGCCAGTGCCTGTGGTCGATCTAGAGATCTCCGTGCTGGATCTGGAGGCTCTCGCCGCCCTCGACGGGGGAGGCGTCGACGGGGTTGCCCCCCCTTTCGGATCCGCCCGTGGCCGCGCGCATTGGCCGCGCCCTTCGGGGGCTCTCGGCCCGCGCGACGGCCGCGCGGCGAAGCGCGGCGCGGCGCCGCTGGGCGGGGAGGAGGCCCTGGCCAGGAGAGCAACGCCCTGCCATTCCGCCAGGAGCGCCCCCTCCTCCCCGCGCGAGCGGCGCCGCTGCCTGCGGCGCCCCCCCCTCCGCCGCGGCCCCGTCTCGGCGCTCAGCCGGAGCCTTGGGCGAGCGAGGCCCGCTCCCGTGCGGGGGAGTTGATCGCCGCCGCTCGAGGCGAGGGCGCGGCTGTGACCGTCGCAGATGTCCGGCGCTGGAGATTCAGCGGCTGGTCGATGGCCGCGAATATGGCCCAGTCGGTGGCTCTACCCCCTTTGGGGGCGCGCCCGAGCGTGCCGAGGGCCCGCGTCGAGGCGCCCCGGCTGTTCGCGGACGGGGCGGCGCGCGGTGGCATCCTTCAGGAGGACCTGCGGGCGATTCTCGCGCAGTTACCACCCCCGCCGCAGCGCGCCCAGGGCCGCGCCCCGACGCTCGCGCCAGCGTCGGCGACGGTGCGGGGAAAAAGGGTGCCTGCGAGCGCGCGTCTGCCTCTCCCGCCGCCCATGGCGCCGCTGCCGCCGCCCCCTCCCCCTCCGGGCCCAGCTGCGCCCGACGAGGTCATCGACTGCGTCGGGGGTGGGTGGGCGCCGCGGGAGACGGGCCTCGCCCAAGCAGCGCCCCGGAGTCCATTTTGGAACCGGCGTTGTAATGTCTGCGGGGGCCCCTCCAGCGGTCAGGGCGGCCCGAGGCGGCGACGCATCCCCTTCTGGGGCCGCTCGGCGACCCTCTTCATCCCGCCCCCCCGTCGCTCCGGGGGCAGTGGTCGAGGGGGGTGGCCGTCGGAGCTTCGATGGCAGCGTCGCAGGGAATGGCAGCAAGTATTTTCGCAGCGCGGGCAGGAAGTTCGATCTATTCTGAGGGCGAACATTGCTCGGGCTCTCGGGGCGGAGCCGTCCGCGGCCGCCCCCTATGGAATGTTCCAGTAGTTTCGCGAGCGCAGTCCGGTGGGGGCCCGCCCGGCGACGCGCGAGATGCCCGCCCACTTCGCGTGGCCGATCGCGCAGACAGGGTGGGGGCCCTGAACGGCTGCCGGCGCGTGTTCCTGTGCCAGCTGGCAGGGTGCCGCGGCTGCGTGGAAGCCGCTCGGTTCCTGGCGGTGCCCGAAGCGCCCCTGGTGCAGGCGACGCGTGTCCGCGCGGAGAGGGGGGCCCAGTTGCCGTTCTCTCGGCTCGCGGATCCCCGCTGGCTGTCGGCTCAGGGCGGCGTGGAGGAGATGGCGTTCTTCCGTTCTCGCCTGTGGGCCGAGCGAGCGGGGCAGGCGAAGGCCCCCCCTGCGGTCGAGTCGAAGACCCTGCCCAAGGCAAATCCCAAGGGCGGGAAGTCGCTTTCGAAAGGCCCCCCCAAGAGGGCCGGCGAGGCCTGGCGGGGGCCCGTGCATTTTGCGCGCGGTGGCCGAGGGCAGCGGTCGCGACGAGCTGATGTTCTCGGCGACGTTGCGACCGCCGAGCGCGCCTTGGCTGAGCGGGGCCGCGGCCGCGGGGATGTGCAACTCCAGCTGCGTTGTTGCGGCCCCGCAGGGAGATTCGCGTTCCGAAGTCGCGGCCCTCGCCCCGCCCCAGGCCCCCTCGTGCCCCGACAGAACCGTGGTTCCTCCGAGCTCTGACGGCGCGGACCCCAGTTCGCCCGCCACCTGCGCCGCTGCGAGGGTCGCGCTTTTCGTCGCTGACCCCGCTGCCTTGCTGCGCCTTGTCCCTGGCGCGAACGGCGATGTCGCCCGCTGGGCCGCCGCGTTGGCCCAGGTGGGGCAGGGTGCTCGATGTTCTATTGCCTCTTTCTCTCGCTCGTCCTTGATCGCGCCGGTTCGGGGCGCCCCTCCTTCCGAGGAGTGCTTCCCCCGCGATCCTTGGCCGCGCCCAGCTTCCGCTCGCGAGCCTCCCGCGGCGTCGTCGGCGGGTCGCTCTCGCGGGCGTTGGCGGCGGAAGCGCGTCGCGCGCGCGGGGTAGCGCAGCGCGCCGTGACTGCGCTTGACTGGCTGACTCTTGGCATGCCTCGCCTCGCGCCCCCCAGTGCTCGCGCGCGTGCAGCGGTCTCCCCTGGCCAGGGGGGCATGCGGAACCGCGTCGAGCGGCCCCGCGTGATCGCAGTTCACCTTGCCCGAGGGGGCAATAGCGATTCGGGGCGGACGTTTGCGATGTTCGACGCCGCCCAGGTCTCGCTTCATGGTCTGGCCACCCATGCTGCAGCTCTTGAGGCCTCTTTCCCCCCTCTTCCCCCGTGCCCGCCCCCGCGCGGGTTTGTCCGGGCGGCGCGCCCGCTGCTGGCTCGCTGGCTGCCGCGGCGGCCTGGGGCTCCTGCCGCGCCAAGCCTTTTGACTTGAAAGTCTGGGCGTCTCGCTTCAAGTCGGATTATTCGCTAGCGTTTGATCCCGCCCCCTTCCTCGCCGACTCGGGTCCGCGCTGCCTTTCTGGGCCTTGAGGTCATGCGCCTCCCGCGCGGAAAGTGGCCCGTGTGGCTTCGGGGCGCTCGGATCCATGTGACTCTTGCGGAGCTGTGGGGGCTAGGTGGGGCCCTTGCCTCGCTCTGAATCTGGCCCCTTCCTCGGCCCTCGCTTGGGACGAGGCGCGCGGGGCGTTCAGAGTCCCCGAGGGCGACGATTTCGATCGTCTGATCCTCAATCCCACGGTGGTGAATAGCCGCTGTCTGAGTTTTTCCTGCAGCGCTCAACGCCCGTGCCTGGGCATCTTGCTTTGTCGCGTGAGCCTGGCTCCCGGCGAGTGGCTGGTTGTGTCGTTCGAAGATTTGC